TGATTTTACTTCTTGAGCTTTATGAGTCTTGTTAAGGAAGTCAGATCCTAAGCCAACATAGTGAAGATTTGGGCCTCCTTTTTCTTCTGTTAGGTGCAGGGTTTCTGTTCTAGTGCTTAAGTCTTTGATCCAATTTGAGTTGAGTTTTGTGCATGGTGAGAGATAGGGGTTTAATTTCATTTTGCTATATATGGACTTCCAGTTTTCCCAGCACCATTTGTTGAAGAGGCTATCTTTTCTCCAATGAGTGTTTATGGAGACTTTGTCTAGTTTAAGATAATTGTATTTATGTGAATTTGTCTCTGAATCTTCTATTCTGTACCATTAGTCTACATGTCTGTTTTGGTGCCAATACCATGCCATATTATGCCATACTATGGCTCTGTAGTATAGTTTAAGGTCTGGTGTTGTGATGCCTCCTGCTTCACTCTTTTTGCTTAAGATTGCTTTGGCTATTCTTCATCCCTTATTTTTCCAAATGAATATCATGATTGCTTTTTCTAGTTCTATGAAAAATGTCATTGGGATTTTAAAGGGACAGGTCTTTAGAAGGCAGGAACCTGGCCTTAAGACTTTAGGGAGATTGTCAAGCTGAAGATTTTTATCTTAGGAACATGTCTGCTTAATATTCAAACAATGATAAATCTCAGTTAACCTAAACATAACATTCCTAAAGCATCTTGGGGTAATACAGATTTTACTCTCAGATGCTGCTCACCTCACTTAGACATTAGAGATGGTGCTTTAAATCCTGCAGACTTCTCCTGGACCAGCTCCCCAAGAACATAGCAGGGATCTTGGCAAAGAGAGTCAAGGGCCGATACACTGCAAAGCACTAGGGTCTGCCAAACCCCAGATACATAGCCTCCTACTTGCAAAGTGTAACTGACATGCAATAAATTGCATATATTTAAAGTGTATGCTGTGGCAAGTTTTGACATACCTCTTTCCCTGTGAAACCATTGCCAGAATCCAGATAAATGAACCAATGCATGCTTCTCAAAACTTTCCTCTTTCCTTTGTAATTTTTTCCACACATTCCTCTTGGTCCTCCTCCCCATCCTCAGGCATCCACTCATCTGTTTTCTGTCACCATAGATTAGTGCATAATTTTTAGAATTTTATATGAGTAGAATTAACTAGTATGTACTCTTTAATATCTGGCTTTTTCCACTTAGTATAGTTATTTTGAGATTCATCCATATTGCAGATAACAATGGTTCACTTTATTTCTTAATATTTTATTGTATGAATACACACAATTGGTTTCTCTACTGACCTTTTGTTGGATATTAGGGTCACTTCCTGGTTTGGGCTATTACAAATAAAGCTATGACGAACAATCATGTATGAGTCTGGTATGGACATATGCTTTCATTTCTCTTGGACATACAGCTGCAAGTGGAGTACATGTGTATGTCTGGCTTTTTAAGTAACTGTCAAGTTGTTCTCCAAAGTGGTTGTACCATTTTACTTTCCCACCAACAGTATATGAGAGTTTCTATATCCCCATACCTTTATTGACAATTGGCACAGTCAATCTTTATAATTTTGGACATTCTAATAAATATGAGGTGAAATCTCATTGTAGTTTTAATTTGCATTTCCCTTTTTGAGCATCTTTTCATGTGTTTATTTGCCATCTATATATCTTTGGTAAAGTTCCCCCCCTTTTATATTATGTTCTTTGTTTTTTTATTTTTGGCAAAATATGATTTTTGATCATACAATAGGTTGTTCCTGTGTATGTACTCTGTGCTCATCATCAGTGGAATTGGATTTTTTAAAAAAGTTTTAGGTATATATACAAGTGCACAAATATACATACCCCCAAAATGTTTTGTTACATAATCATAGAGAATACAATCCCCATAAACTTCAAAACCAATATCAGCAGGGCAGAACTACTTGCTTGGCTGTATCTAACGCTAGAGGTTTCCCTTTAAGCAAAGAAAAGCTTAAAACCCAGTGTCATGATGGACTGTGGTGTAACAGGAAACATTGTTGCAGCTGATAGGATAGGACACATGGGCACAGTAAGCTGCAGCTTCTCAAGGCAACAAGATAGCGAAAAGGTGGTAAGAACCAAGTACATCCATGACAGAGCAGAATGCTTAAATGAACACCCAGAAGCCAGGCAGACCAGGTTTTGAATTTCCTTCAACTCCTGGCTCAGGGTTCTTAGGAAAGTTGTTTAACCTTGTTTTCTTTATTTCCAAAATGCAGATAAAGCTTCCTCATTGATTGTTATACAAATTAAGTAAGAAAATCAAATTGTGTGATATGTAGCAAAGTTCCTGGCACTTGTAGTCAGCTCTAATTAAACTCTGGTATTATGAAGAGGAAGTTCAACAAGAAGGTTAAGAACACGAATTATGAATTTGAGACCAGCCAAACTTGGCTAAAACACTGATTATGAAAATTCCTAGCTGTGTTAACTTGAATTTCAAATTGCCATTTCACCGTGCCACAATTTCCTTTGTGCCACAATTTTCCAATAGGGATAATGTGGTATATCATAGGATTGTTTTGAACACTGAATTCTTATTTGCAAACTACCTAGAATGGTGATAGCAAACAGAAAGTGTTTGCTATTAGAGCTGCAGTTATCTTCCCAAGCTCCAGTTGGTATATCAAGACCTACTTACTATAACTAGTAATTGTTTTGTTCTAATAGCTATTTATAGAGCACCTCCTGTGCGTAAGCATTGAACTAGTTGTTAGGAAAGACCAAAAAAAACTGTAAAGCACGGACACCTTTATGACCAAAGAACACATCTCTAAAACAGAAAACATGGTTGATGATGACAGCCAACATGGTATATGGCTGTCATGGGAATGTCCCCCAAAAGTCCATGTGATAAATGCTTTGTCCTCAGTGTGTCTCTGTCGGGAGGTGGTGGAAACTTTAAGAGGTAGGGTCTAGTAGGAGGTCTTCCTGTCATTGAAGTGTGACCTTGAAAGAGCCCCCTCCTTTCCCTCTTTTTTTGCTTCCTAGCCATGAGGTGAATAGCTATGTTCTGCTATGTGCTCCCTGCTATTATATGCTCCCTCACCACAGGCCCCAAAGCAACAGGGCCCACTAATTACAGACTGAAACGTCTAAAACTGTGAGCCAAAACCTTTTTTCTATATAAGTTGATCATCTCAAGGATTTGCTACAGTAAGAGATACTTAGAGATGTTGCAAATGTACTCAGTCATAGACCAAGGATTTGAACCCAGGTTCCAAGCTCCAGGACTACCAGATTCCCCACCATATCAAAGGACCTCCCCAAAAACATCTGTGAGCATTCTCCGCTTGAAACTTACCACAACTTAAATAAAGTAGCAAATGTGGTATCATAAAAGTTGTCTCCTCCCATCCTCTTTTCTCTCCTCCAGTGACATCTAAATTTTATTTTCTCTTTGCTCTGAAACTGGGCCAAAAACCACTGAGGGCTATAATTTCACACTGTTTATTTTTTAAAGCAGACTAAATTAACTTTCTCAGAACTTTCTTTTCTCACTACCCTTTCTTCCACAACATCTCTTAATATACAGGCACAGTTTTGAAGCTTTTTATTCAGAACATAAAATCCAATATATAAAAAAATACTTTTGTGATTTTCTTTTTACCCTACAGGTTTTGAGGGATATCTACATCAGGCTTCACACAAAACCCAGAGGAAATGATGTTGATTCTCTGTTTAACTTTCTTTAATGGCTACCAGCTACGATTGAAAAACCATTTATCTTAATCTAAGCAAGTTCCTCATTCTATTCTTGAAAGCCATTCTCTGTGGTAGAATTTAAACGTGTGTGTGTGTGTGTGTGTGTGTGTGTTTACAAGAGAAATTCAGCATCTGTCCTTAAATCACTAGTATGTTCTATACCTATGTGTAAGATCCTCACCTAACATGTCTCCTTCTTTTTCTTCTGAAGGGTGTTAATTTTTTCCAATTGGATACTTTGTTTTCTGACTTAGTCTCAGTCACACAAAGCAAGAAGATATTAACCTCCCTTTTTTTTTCTTTTTCTTTCTTTCTCCTTCCCCCACCCCAGGGGTTTGAACTCAGGATACTTTGCCCCTTAGCTATATCTCCAACCCCCACTCCATTTTTTTTTTAAACAGGGTCTCACTAAATTGCCCAGGCTAACCTTGAACTTGCAATCCTTCTGCCTTAGCCAGATTTGCTGGAATAATAAGCATGTGCCACTACACCTGTCTTAATCTCCTTTCTTAATCCTTCCACAGTAAATTCTTAAACAATCTGTTTTCTTATCATTCTAAACTGGAACCCCAAATCAAAGCTGGACACCTTTTCTTTCTGGCTTTAGATGTTCTTCAAATGAAATTGACAGTTTGTTCATTCCTTTTTCCACGTCACTGAAGGTACTATCTGTCACACCAGGGCTTAGACCCTTGTGGATTAGCCCATTGTAGCATGTAATAGGATCTGAGCTTTGTAAATCAAAGAAGTTCTAACATATCATCTATATCTGTTCTCTATATATGTCCACTTTGTCAAGGGACACCTTCTTCCCACCAGGAAGAACCAATACCTATGTTAGGAAGACTTAGTGATGCTGTGAATGCCCACAGGTCATAGTATACAAATATACAATTGTGTAATGCAAGTCCTAGGGAGCATTTGTCACCTAGACCAAACCATCCAGTTCAACCATACATAGCATCTCTTCAGTTAGAAACTCTTTTTCCATTAAGGAAAATTTTTTTTCTTAATGTAAATACTTGAAGGATTCATTTGCTTGCCTGAACGTTATAATCAAGATGGTATATGTTAAAAATCAGTGATACAGTCTGTCCATGTATTTTCCGTTCTCTAAGTCCTATCTTCACTTTTGGTCTATTCTTGCCAAAACAAGAGACTGACAATTTATTTAAAAACCATAAGACCATGGAAATGATCTTAGAGCTAAAAGAGGGTTATTATTACTCAGTAAATGAAAATGAGTTCTAGAAAAGGAGAATGGTTAATAAGAAGCAAAACAGAGTCATCACACCCAAAAGTCAGATTTATTTCAAAACATAATGCTGACTCCATAATAATAAATACGTTTAACACTGAAAGTAGAAAAAACTATTGTGCATATTCTATGAAGACACGGTGCTAAAGAATTAGAGAAAAAGGTAGCCCTTCACCTCTAGGCTACTGATAAAACAATCTGGGAGAGGTGCACAATCACATGGATAAGGCAGGGGAATTGAGGGAGGGCAAGAGAGGAATTTATCAAATCATGAAGAATTTTCTACTTGCCTTTCCTTCCTGGAGCCATAAAATTAAAAACCTAGAGTTGGAAAACTATGAACTACACCTTCACACACATACCTGGTTGTATAGGTGCTGTCTTTCTCAATTTGGGAGATGGTTAACTATTTAGAGATCAGAATGAAAAACTAAACTGGTTTCCATTTCGTCCTAGGTCAGATTACTCTGACTAATGACAGGGCCATGAAGCCCTCAGAGCCCATCAGAGCAGCTACTGCTTGTGTTTAAGGCTCAAGCACAGCAATCATGAACTGGAGAACTGAAGGCACTACACAATGGTGACAGGCACCACCACAAGCTCTGAGGGTCCAAGTCCTTTCAGAGCTGACTATTATACGCCACCATCTACTCAGCTAGCCCGGGGTCCAGCTCCTCCACTCTCTACAGATGGGGGCACATTAGCCCGGCTGCTGCTCAGGCCTCACTCATACAGGGAACCCACCTGCCCTTTTCCCCCCACTAACCCTCAAAAGAAATTCATATATTTGGGCCCCCTCTAATTACAATAAGTAGTAGAGAAATGCTCCAGAAAGGATCACTAGGAGATTTCCTTCAGATCAGACTCAAATGGGAGTAGAATAGACCTGTGTGTGGCCTCAGGGCCTGGAAAGGACCCTCAGCTGCTTCTGACTGCCTCAGGTCTTTCTCTCTGAAGATAAAACCTCCCAAATGGTAAAAGCAATATAAGACTTAATCCTAAAATCCACCACTGCTCTCAGGAAGTGTTGGGGAAGGGAAGGAAGAAAGAAGCGTGCTCTCCTTCATTCTGTGACACGCTCTCATGGGCAAAAATAAGTGGAAGACAGCTAAAGAAAATGAAGAGGTCAGTGCCTAGTCCTCTCAGTACAAATTGGCAACAGTTTTGAAGGGAAGGGCTGTCAGGTTCTGGCTCATCTCAAGACCACTGGAGGCCAAGACTCAGTCCAGGAAGGACACCAGCAGGATAACTAGAGGTACTTTCACTCTCATGGGGATTAAAATCACAGGGCATTGCTTTTGTTGTTATTGCTATTGTTTGTTTTTGTTATTTTGTTTTGTTTTTTAAGCTAGGGAGGACTTCAGACACCTTAGTTTATCTCCATCATTTTTCCAAAGAGGCCCTGAAGCCTGGAAAGGTTAAACAGTCTACCCAGGACACACAGCTTGTCATATGACTCGGGGGACATGGAATGGGACAGAGGCTGCAGGGAGAGAGGCAGTGCAGGTGAACATCATGCAGCACATGGCTAGCTACATTCTGGCAAAAACTTCCCACCCCTGACCCTTTCCAGTAGAATTGTCACAGAAGTGGACAGGTCCTGGACCAAGCTTATACAAGGGCTTCTCTCTGGAGGGCATGAGGACTTGCAGACATGTCTTCATTTCCCAGTCCGCGAGGCCACCTGGATGGCTTTGATCCACTCTGTGCGTTCCTTGGGGGTGGCGGCTTGCAAGAAATAATGAACTTCATCAGCCGTGATGATCTCGAAAAGGTTCTCTTCATCACTCTTCCTGCCTGTGAGGAGAGAGAAAATGGCAGCTCACACACGAGCACCAGAAAGTCACCTGACCTGCCCTCCTGCTCACGGGTCATGAAACACTTTTTTAAAAAATCCCCAGGAAAGTATGTGGTTTTCAAACATATAAACATTGTATGATTATGTATATTTATACATAAGTATATATGTTGTATTCATATGGATGGGTACATAGTATGATCCTATATGTATGTGTATATTTGTAAGAAACAAGTAAAATACTCAAGGAGAAACATTTTATTTCATAGTTTGTAAGTAAAATTTTCACCTTTGCATTCCAATAATATTTCACAAATAATTTCTTTTTTGAGACGGGGGGGGGGGTGGCGGGGGCCAGGGATTGAACTCAGGGTCACTCAACCACTGAGCCATATCCTCAGACCTATTTTGTATTTTATTAAGAGACGGGGTCTCACTGAGATGCTTAGCACCTCATCATTGCTGAGGTTGACTTTAAACTTGCCATCCTCCTGTCTCAGCTTCCCAAACTGCTGGGATTACAGGCATGTGCCATCACACCTGGCAATAATTTCTAATGGTATCTAATGACTGATTTTTTTCTGCTTATAATATAAATCATGAGCTGATGGTCTCATATATATGTATGTGTGTGTGTGTGTGTGTGTGTGTATATATATATATATACACACACACATATGTATATATATGCATACACATTTGTATATACATATATGTTTATACATGCATATGAAAACAAAACCAATCCTACCATCAATATTTTACATACAGTTTGAACTGATTTTTGTCAAGGGTTAAGTTAGAGCCACTTAAAACATTCATCTCAAATTAAAAAGCCACATGATCCTCTCCAAAACTAAAGCATCGCTCTAGGTGGCAGAGAGATGGCAGACCTAGGGTAGTAAAAATCTGGGCTTTTGTTGATATGGTTTTCCTGTCACCTTTATAACATCGTAAACCCAAAATGGCAAAATAAAATCAGGGTTGGGCTATCCAAACCACATCGCCCAGTGATTCCATTTGTCCATTACACCTCAGAAGTCAATGCACAGCCACATAACTATCCATATGTCCAGCATAAGCTTGTACCTGAAAGTTATCCTGTGTAGCCCCTCGTTTTGAGAGGAAGCACTAAGATTCACCATACTGGGGTGGTTCACTGAGGGTCATGTGGCTGAATGAGTAGCATAGACCTAATAGTAACCCAGGTGCTCCATCCACTCACCACAATTCTTGTTGCATAAATGCTCCTTTTGTTGTGGGGAATTTCCTGATCTGGATAAGTAAAAAATTTCCTTTAAGGAATGTCATCATATCAGGTGCTAATAAGCTCTCTATCTAAGCCAATTTGGAAGTGATGTATTTTCTCAGCATTGCTCAAGGACTTATAGACATTCACAAAGACACTCCAGTTCCTCAGGTCTGGAAAGCAGGGGCAGCTCAGGGAAAAGAATAGCTATTGGTTTCTCTAAGGTTTTCAGACAGCAAGTTCATGCACGCTTATGCCTGATTGATTGATTGATTATGTTGGTACCAGATGTACAGGAGTGCAGAGTCTAAGGAGACACATCTCTCACAGAAATCCATTCTTACCATCTGGATTGCTCTCCACTGAAGTCACCACACAACCTCTCAAGTGAACTGCTCCCAGGGGATCTTCCCCCTAGAGGAAAGAGAAGTCATTCATCCATACACTGTATGGATACATCTTATTTTAATGGTGCAAAATTCTCATAGACTCACTCTGGTAAGTATTAGGAGATTAAAATAAATAATAGCAGAAGGACCTTAAAGGAAATTCATTCCAGATCCTCCATTCTCCACTTTCAATGGAGCCAGGGAGGTTTCATGAGAATATGCAAGTCAAGCTGGACTTCAACTCTGGAGGAAAGTGGCAGAAGTGGAGATGCTGAGGTCCCCATGCCCCTCTAAAGAAAAGATGCATGTTTACTGCACCTGACACAGTAGTATCACCTTCCAGGAGCAGATCAAAGAGCCCTGCACCATAAACAAAGACCAAGGACTCAACCCTAACATGGGTTTTTACTCTCCAGAGTTGGCTCATTTTATTGAGGAAAAAGCTCTCTTCAACAATCAACAGCCTGAATTGCAGGAATTAAATAATGCATTCATCCAAGTTGGCCTGGGAGAGGAATTATCACTTTTTTGCAGAGTGTTGGGCTGATTGAGTTTCCCCAAAAATATTAGATTAGGGCAAACAAAAAAATTACATTGAGCTAACCAAATAAATTAAAATACAGTGCTATTATATTCCATCCCTCAGTTTATACTGGCCTTTAAGGCATCGGGATTCAGATCGTTGCAGTGTGAGTAGGTAGGAAAAGGTAAAGGAAGATGGGTGAAAAAAAGTGGGAGGGTGAAAAGAAAATGGAAATATGAACAACACAGAGAATCAGAAGCCCAGCCCATAAATGGAGTGGAGGTTTCCATTTGAATGGGTTTATTGACCACAGAATCTCACCCCAGCAGGGTCATAGTAGTGCAGGTAGGCAGGGTCTTCTCGCAGAACAAATTTTCTCACTTTCCAGTTTTTCCTCCTATGCCCCTAAATCCAGGAACAACAAAAGAAAAGAAATGATGAGTTCCTAGCATCACTCGATATGTTCAGTGCCTAGATCATAAGTCTTTTCTGAATTGGATAAAAGAAAAAAGAAGATGAAACATTAACTTTAAGAGAACAAGGCCCTGACCCAGGACATTCTCAGGGGATAGCACTGAGGCCAATTAATAACTTGTTGTTATTATATTAAATGGATGAACTAGATTATTTCCAAGCTTGGTTTGCAGTTTCATTATCACGTAAAGCGATGCTGTGTACTATATGCTATATTTGGCAATGCCAGGGATATTAGCAGTTTAAGATGTGGGCCTGCTCTTCAAAGAGTTTATGAATTATGTGGAAATATAAAATAGCAAAGCCCAAATCAAATAATTTGTATAGATAATGGATTTGAAAGGAATTAAGTGAGGAATATGTAATTAGGGGCTTTGGATGTCAAGCAAAGCCTCATAAAGGGCTGGACTTGTCTGTGTGGGACACACAGGATTTAGATGGATATAAAGATTATTGACAACACACACACACACAAAAAAAAAAAAACGGGAGGAAATGCACAGGGCATGAGCAGAAGCTGATGAATGAGACCAGTCTAGCTAAGATGCACTGTGCATGAGGAGTAGCAGAAGCAAAGCTGGAAAAGTCACAGACCTTAGTCAAAATAAAATGACTTTTGAAAGGAAGATGGGAGATAATTACTAAGACTTTTGAGTAGGGAAAAGATTACAATTTGGGGAAAATTAATATGGTGACAAAGTATAGAATGGACCAGCTAGATAGAATAAAGGAAAGCCAGGTAGAAGATAAGAATGTAAAAATGAGGTCTTTAGGGAATGATTGCAATAATCCAGGCACAAAATTATTAGGAACTAACTTTAGGTAGCAGCAATAGCCATGGAAATGAATTTGGCTATAATAGACATAATAAAAACAGATTAAAACTTGGTCTTCCTCAGTAGAATTAAACCCTTGGCATCACCTAGTCTGAATTTTAAGAACAGGAACTTTCTCTTTGTTCCCCAGTGCCCACCATAGTTTCTGGCACATGGAAACTGCTCCATCTCTCTTTGTAATGGCCATTAAAGAGCAAGTTTAATGATCACAGTCAACCTGATTCTGTGATTTTTCCACAGAAAATTCAAAGGATTTAAATACCTCCAGAAGCCTAAAATGGTTTTAAATTAGAAGATAACATACTGTCTACCCAAAATGAAGAATAATCTAAAGTACCACATATCAACAGGCATATATATAGATGGATTTTCCAACATTTTTCATTTTGCTGATGTACAAAACAATGAATAATGTGTGGTTTTAGCAGACAGAGCCTCCTTCATAAAATCAGGTCAGAGGAATTTAAAGGGCACTTTCAAGAAGGGATCTAAGTTTTACGGCCAAGAATTTGGTTTAAAAAAAAAAAAACCTCATTCCCAAAGAATCTTTTACTTGCCTGAAGGGATAGAGCCAGGAACCCTACAGAGTCATATGGAAGGGCAGGAAATAGTTCTGTCTGCTATATCATCATTGGCATTTGCAATGCAGCAGCTTCTAAAAGTATGGATTCCTACTCTTTCCCTTAACTAATGTCATCCATGAGATACAAACACTACAGTTGCCACCCCACACCATTTCCTCTTCATCTGCACACCCTCATGTCATGCTGTCTTACGAAATTGCTGAGTGATCACCAGGTCATGAGCTGATGGAAGAGGAAGGTAACAGGAAAGAGGAAGGTGAAACCAGCCTTCCCTGACTAGTCACCTCATTCCCTTGAAGTCCTCACTGACATCAGTGCTATATATTGCAGAGTTTGCTGTAATTGGGGGTGTCTGGTCATCTTTCATTTTAGGAGTGTTTCCTGAGGGATTTTAAGTAAGGTACGCAGGCCTGAGCTTTCCAAGAATTGTTGTTAAACTTGTCAAAGTCATCTAATTATATTCAATTGAATTCACTTCACAAGTGTTTACTGTCAATCACGGACCAAGAAGGACACTGAACTTCACAGTAGAAACAAGACGCACGTATAACACATCATCCTTTCCTTCAAAGAATCTGGTTGGGAATTAAACAACTACATATTTCATTCATTGTTTTAACAGAAGAAATTATACAAGAAGGGATTATACTGAATCTAATCCACAACCATTTACCCTCAAACTTTCTCCATTTGCAAAGTAGAATTATTTCCTCTGAGGTGAAAGTGGGACACAGTCTTCCAGTTGGACAAAGCTATTTCCCACCTCTGAAGTGTGGAGCACAGTTCCTTTTTCATGACAATCCTGGTGGGCAGGTTAGCCTTGGCTAGCTCCCAGCAAGGGATATAAAAGTACTTTACTTTTTGAGGAACTAAAAAAAAATTTTTTTAATTCCCTCAAGTGATTCTGACATGAACCACAGTTACTAACCACTGAGGCTAAGAGGTTGGAAACATTAAAGAAAAATGCCAATTCAAATAGACGAGGTCTTTGGTTTTCTCCCTACTCTGCCCCACGGAAAACAATTTGGAAGCAAGAATAGTGTAAAAGAACCAAATTCCTGAATGCACACAGATTCCTGTTTTCTCTAAGTAGAAACGAAGTTTATAGAATGACATTTTAAATAGTTGTATTTTGAAAATAGAATAAATTATCTTTTAAGACTAAAAAGGCTAGCTCATTGGTTCTCAGCACTGGCTACACATCAGAATCACTTGGAAGCTACAAAATTCCAAAGACTGATTTGATCAGCCAGGGTACAGTTTTTACAGCTCTCCAACTGTCAAATTTGTTTATCAACTGGGCTAGCTACAACTAAATTGTACCTATCAAAGGTTTGGTAAAGAAAGGTAAAGAAAACACACATATAAGTTTACTACAGTTGCCACCCCACACCATTTCCTCATAGTCCCTATCATCTTCAAAACACATTCAGGTACCTATTCCTTAACCAATTTTTGACTATTCATCCATCTCCTACTGGGTGCTCTGCCTAGATATGGCTCCAGTCCAGCCCAGATGTTTATATACCTTCTTGCTTAGCTTTTTAAGAACTCCTCTGAAGATTAGGGCCTGGGGCTGATCATGTAGCTCAGTGGTAGAAAGCTTGCCTAGCATACATGAAGCCCTTGGTTCAAAAAGGAAGTTCCCTCCAAGTTACTCCTGTCTTAACAGTCATCTTCCAGCATCTGAAATCAAAGAGCCTGGAACCTAAGAATGTTTTCTAGAATCAATGAGGAAGCCAACGAGGGGCAAACTATGAGTCTTTCCTATGGCCCTGCCCCCACTGCCTTTCCTTTAATTTAGTCAAGTTGTTTACCTTGTCATAAAAGATATTAGAATAGGACATGAATTCTTTCTAAATCCTTGCTGTATATTTCTTAGGACCTGGTTCTTTTAAAACTTGGAGCTAAGACAAGTTTTCAATACTAATGTTTCACTTCCCCAGGATAATTCAAAATCCTCCTTATTACCTAATCTCAACAAAGCCAATGAGACTTATATTTTAAAATAAAAATATATACTCTGTTTTGGTTCTTTTCTCCTTGTTCATTCCATTAACCACTAACACAAAGGACCATAATATGAAGTAAAATCTCTTAGTCTCATGGAACCTATAGGTAGTACACAGAAATTTCTTTACATCAACCAGGCTTTCTCCATTATGAGTTGTGCTTGCATTTATTCATTCATTCATTCATTCATTCATTCTCATTAGTTATACAAGACAGCTCTTCAATTCATTGTACACAAATGAAGCACAATTTTTCAGTTCTCTGGTCATACATAAAGTATGGTCATACCATTCATGCAATCATATGAGTACCTAAGGTAATGATGTCTGTTTCATTCCACCATTTTTTCTACCCCCAGACCCCTCCCCAGTTTGGCCCATCCAAAGTTCCTTCACTCATCCTATGCCCCCCCATTATGGATTAGCATCCACTTATCCTAGAAAACATTCAGCCTTTGTCTTTGGGGGATTGGTTTACTTTGCTTAGCATGATATTCTCTAACTCCACCCATTTACCTACAAATGCCATAATTTTATCCTCTCTTAATGCTGAGTAATATTCCATTGTGTATATGTACTACACTCATATATTGCTGGTGGGACTGCAAATTGGTTCAGCCTATCTGGAAAGCAGTATGGAGATTCCTTAGAAAACTTGGAATGGAACCACCATTTGACTATCCCACTCCTTAGTCGATTCCCAAAGGACTTAAAAACAGCATACTACAGTGACGCAGCCACCTCAATGTTTATAGGCCCAGTTCACAATAGCCGAACTGTGGAACCAACCTAGATGCCCTTCAATAGATGAATGGATAAAGAAACTGGATGGTGCTATTAATACAGCTCACAGTACAGCCAGAAAGACAAGACTTTGGTCCTCTGAAGTGGCCTGGGCTTCTTTGCCACCCTATGCTAGTATCAGTTCATTTCACCCTGAATATTCCCACGTCTTCCTGCTACTTATCCCTCTGCTAAGTGCTGGCTCTGGCTTCCTCGTTCACCCCCAGCCCTTCTATTCTCCTACCTCGAAGCACCATGTACCTTGGTCCCTAAAAACTGACTAGAGATATTCAGCTCACCCCAGTCCTTTCCTCCCAGATTGATGATGTCCTATATTTGTAGACACCTGGTAACTGCATATAACTTCCCTCCAGGGCTATGTCCAGGCCCTCAGACTAGATTTGACCTTTGCCTGCTGTTTCTGTGGAGTTGGCCTTGGGCTTGTTCTAGTTTTTGGTTTCACCATGCTTACACACAATCTGGAATGGTACTCCTTGCCCACAAAGTGCCTAATGTTCTTACCTGGGTGTGGCCTATACCTATCTCCTGGTGACTTTGAAAGGAAGAAGAGAGGCAAAATGGCAGTACTTCAGCATAAAACATCTTTGCCTTTTGGATGACATCTCTTAGCCAATTTATTTCCTCCAGAATGAAAGGGGAAATATTTTCTTAAAACTTTTTCTCCCTGTGATGTTGATAAAGGAGATCTTTTTCTATTGTAGGGGTGTCTTGTGCCCTGCCTGCCTCGGTCTTCCCAATCTAATGCCACTTTGATCATCGACTTAGCTAATCCTCTCACTTTTATTCTCTGGATTTCATTTTCTGGTTCAGTATTGGTCAAATAAACTAAATGCCATTGAGTCGTTTAGGGAAAACTTTGGGGGAAATTGCTAAGGGGAAAGGCTAGGAGGAAATAGGGGTGGCCACTCACCTGCTTCAGTAAACATCCCTGCTTGATAATCACCCCTCTGAATTCTTCTTTCAGAATCACATCATCATCACTGGAATTCTCTTCACAGAAGAACCCACTGTCTGGCTATTGGGAAAACAATCAGCAAAATGACTTCACCAGTTTTAGGCATATTGCTCTGTGCACCATGCCCACCTCCCTCTCCCTTCCAGCTAGTGAGGCAGGCTCCTCCTCTTCCTTCCAGCTACCGGGCATATCCCCATCTGAACTTTAAAGGCTGTTCTTGGTTAGCTAGTCTCCTCTCCTCCCTTTTCTTGCTTCTACATGCTATTCCTTTCTCAGCTCCCCTTAAATGTGATCTTGACAACATCCTTTCATTTTCTAAGATTCCCCAAGCTATATTCTTTTTTTTAAATTTTTTTTAGTTGTAGATGAACGCAATATTTTTATTTTTATTTTTTTATGTGGTGCTGAGGTTTGAACCCAGGGCCTCATGCGTGGGAGGCAAGCATTCTACCACTGAGCTACAACCTCAGCACCCCCCCCCAAGCTATATTCTATCTCCATCTTCCTCACCTTGTGTATTTCTATCTTTGAAGCCTCGTTTTCCTGGGACCTCATAGCCACATCCTTGAAACCAGGGTGATTGACATTAAAACACTTTACAACACTATCTTCCTCAGGACCTTTACCACTCAACCCCTTCTCCAACTTTAAGAACAACAAAGAGCAAGGGTCCAGCACCAACCCCTCACATCAAGAGGGCATCGGTAACAAATTGCTCAGTGATAAATCATACAGAGGAGCAGTCACTGTGATGGGTATTTTTAGGATCCTGCATTTAAATAGCTATAAATAATAAAAAGTTTGAAGAAAAAAAATAATGACAGAGAAACTTCCTCTAAAGTGAAATGAAACTCTATTTGGGATGTTCACTTCATTTTCGAAAGAAGAATGGTTCTCTTAAGTAGTTTCCTAACTTCTATATTCTGATCCAAAATAGAAACAAAACTGCAAAAATTCCCCCAGAAATCCACAGTTGCCAGAATTATCACACAGCCCAAGATTGGGTCCCCATTGTGTAATACAGCATTTCCCAATCTGCAATAAGCAGACTAGGTGTGGGTAGTACACAACGTGTAGGATGTGACATGCATAGATACACTGTGTATGAAGAGTCACCTATTTTAATGTATATTTGAAAATAAAATTACAACCAGCTCTGTGATTTTTGTACATCTGTGCCTGCATTTTCTTTTCTTTTCTGCTCTATCTCCTTTGTCTAGGAAAGGGCTTGCTATGTAGGAGAGCCTAATAAATTTGTATAAGTAAATTATTGCTTAGTATAAGAATGAAAAGAGTAGAGTTAAAAAAGTCAGTTTAAAGAAAACTATTCAAGTAGTCCACCATTTCCTTTAAACTGTTTCGCTTGGATGGGGCAGCGCTGTGGAGTGAACAGCTGTCAAGTCTGGGTCTTGCTGGTGTATTAGAAGCTTCGTGGGCCTCAACGCTGCATGGCTTGGGGGCTTGGAGTAGTTCCTTTTTCTCCCCAGTTGACCTCACCCTCCCCCCCACACCCCAGCTAACAGCTCTCTGTAGGTCTGGGCACTTTCTTTGGCATATGTGGCTAAGAACTGAAATCAACAGAGACTCTGCCCTGGGCAGTCCCCCAATGAGAAGAATAGATCAGTAGCTTTTATCACTTACAAAGTAGTAGAAGGCATCCGGGTTGTCCAGGAAAGGGTTCTCAGCAATCCCATCCGCTGCATTCTTGGACAGGTCTCCAGCAGGCTGCAGATAGCCTTCATTGAGCAGTGATGAGGCAATCATGAGGCCTTCCTGGCGATTCCGAATAGATTTGTTGGATACCAACCAGTCGATGACACAGCTACCTAGAGAGGACCAATAAAGGGAATGTTAATCCTCCTCAAAGAGCAAGCCACTGACCATCACTCTTGCACTGGCTCCAGAACACCTGCATGTCCAACTTGTCTCATCCTCCCTGCTATTCCAAGAAGGAAAAAATAAAATTAGTGAGATAGAGACCTGAAAACAAAAAGAATCATGTAAGAAGTTTTTTAAAATGTCTGCATGCTGTGTAAGAAGCAACATCTGCATCAGAGAAATCATTTTTCCTAACCCACTCATTTCTTTCATTAATTAACATTTATTGAGCATCTAGTAGATCAAGCACCTAATAGGTACTCTGAGGTATTGGGCAGATTCACTTAGGGAATCTAAAAGAGAGAGATGTGTGAGAAGTATTAGAACCCAGAAAGTCAATACTGCAGATCTACTGAGTCACATCTGAAGGTGTGGAAGGGGCAGGGGAAGGAGGAGGGGACTGCCATGCACTGTCCGGGAAAATATTCATAGAGAAATTGACACTGGGCTGAGACCTAAAAAAAGCAGTAGGTGTTTGAAAACATGTAAGACAGGGCTGAGAGGGTTCAGCACAGGCTGAGGAGTAGGAGGTGCGAAGATTCACACAGGCTGCAGCTGCCCCAGCAGTGGGGGCAGAGGCAGGAGGAGGAGTGGTGAGACCAGGCAAAAGGAGAGGAGGAGAAGGAAGATGCAAGATAAGTGGGGAGGGGGGATAGTAGGAGATAGGAAAGGCAGCAGAATACAACAGTCACTAATATGGCATTATGTAAAAATTGTGATTGTGTAACTGATGTGATTCTGCAATTTGTATTTGGGGTAAAAATGGGAGTTCATAACTCACTTGAATCAAATGTATGAAAGATGATATGTCATGAGTTTTGTAATGTTTTGAACAACAACAACAAAAAAAAAGATAAGTGGGAAGAACTTTGATGGCATGTTAAGTCATTTGGCACTAAGGAGCCATTGCAAGTTTTTAAGCAGCAAATATCATCATGATGGGATGTGTGTCCTAAATTAAAATTTGATGACCTTATTTGTTTATCATCACACCTCTTGCCGTTTGACTTGTTTACAGACTCTAACACCTCTGCAGGATCTTGCAGGTCCCTCAAGAAGTCATTTAACCAACCTTTTACCTCAAGAGAGGATAACAAGGGGAATAAAATGAAATTGACCCAAGAGCTAGATTATTAACAGGTGAAAGTAAAGCGCTGCATCCATAACAATGCATTCTTTATAGATGACAATGACAGAGCCCATTTAACCCTGCCAGGCCTGGGTCATCCAAGCAAGGGCATTGGGGTGTGCCGCACGTGCAACAGCAGTGAGAGCTTTCGGTAAGGAAGCCTTCTGTGAATTTCATATATGAGAAGTTTAGTCCACTTTTTCTAGAAGGATAAATTAATTAATACTGAATCTCTGCTTTTAATCCCTGCAGCAACCCTATAAAAGAGGTAGGGTAGTAATTACAGACCTTATTTGAAGGATGAGAGAATTTAGACTCCGAGAGTTTAAGTGTCCTTAGGCCTAGGTTGCCCAACGCTGGGCCTTCACATTTTATGCTTGTTCAGCTAGGCATGCTGAAGCCTGAAAGATAAGCTCAGTCTAGTGTCCCCGTCACCTGATATTCAAGGTCCTTTATCACACATCAGCACATCTGGGTCCCAGTCTCTGCCTCAGTCTTCATCTCCCAGCTGAGACTACTTGACTTCCTTGAAGCCTCTACCCATGGAAATTTCTAGAACCCACCATGAACTTCAATGGAAAACACGTAAAAAGTGGTAGCCCAATACCCTGGAACTCAGGAACACATAAACACAAGAAATGAGTGTCAGCTGGATCTTGTGACCAGATCTACATTGGAACCTCTTCCTGTTGCCTTTGCCCTTTGCTCTGAAGACCTGACCACAGTCCTGTAGAGTTAGGTCGCTGCCTTGCTCTTGTCAGTTTCCCTCACCAACAACCACAGCTAGGTATCTTGGTCTCAAATCTCATCCTTTACTTGTCTGATGCTAACGGGCTGCTGCCTGAACTTCCTGAGACTCATCCCCTGATACTACAACTCACATTCTTCCCCTTCTCCTTCCTGACCCTGACCTGGACCACTGTCATAGATTATCTGTTGAGCTGGGCACAGTGGCACATGCATGTAATCCCAGCGATTTGGAAGGCTGAGGCAAGAGGATCACGAGTTCAAAGGCAGACTCAGCAATTTAGCAAGGCCCTAAGCAACCTAGTGAGACCCTGTCTCTAAATAAATTATTTTTTAAAAGGGCCAGGGAGATGTGGCTCGGTGTTTAAGTGCCCCTAGGTTCAATCCCCAGTACCAAAAAAAAAAAAAAAAAAAAAAAAGATTATCTGTTGATCTTATACCTCAGATTCAATATCTCTTATATTTTCTCAGAATTTACTTCCTTTGATGCCTCTTGTCACCATAAGTAACCATGCCTGGTATCTGATAAATCTAGTCCAAAACTATAAATCTCATTTTGTTCCCCATAATGAACCATCTGCCCTACCAGGCAGGTCAATTTCTTTTTCTTAGATACATATTGTGCATCTCTGCCCAATAACTTTGTTCTCACTGTCCTTTGCCAAGCCTCCTCATCAGACATCCTCCTCATGAATGATACCCATATTTCAGGGTCAAAGTTAGGTACCACCTCCTATTCACCCCCAACAACCCTCTGAACTCTTTCTCTTTTCTGAACTCACTTAGGCAGACATGTGACTTCCTCAGTCATAATAGTCACTTGAGTGCTTGCTCCACTAGCACCTGCTGTGTGTCAGACAATGTTCTACACACAGAACAGCAAGCCTATAAAGTACATAGGCTATGACACCCACATTTTATAAGGAAAGTGAGGCACAGAGAGGCTAAGTTATTGGCCTGAGCTTTTATAGCTAGTAAGTTAAATACCCAGGAGGATTTGAACCAAGGTAGTCTGGTTCCAATGAACATGTTTCAATCACTACATCATACTACCTAAGTTCATAACACCTAAAACCCTACCCTGTGCAGCCTCTGACATCCTAAGATTACCACTTAACTCTAACATTATATGTCTCCACCCCCGTTTATCATAATAAGATATGCATCTTATTTAACTGAGTATGTATTGCTAACAATTATATAATGCCATTTATTGGGGGAGAAATATCCTTTAATTGATGCAGCTAGAACTTCTGAAACATTATCTTGTACAAAGATGTTTTTTCCACCCTTCTTTCTGATTCCACATGGGGGAAAGTCAATTCTTATGTTCACCACTCTGCATTTAGTGACACTGTTCACTCCCCATGCTCCAGGCCCCCACCAGACACATAGAGCAGAGGGACAGCAAAAGGAGAACTCCCTATTACCTCCCTTGTCACCCCATTTCAGGCATGCACATCCTTTTACCTGTGAAACAGTGGTTAAAAACCTTCTTGTCCTTTTCTAGATTCAGCTCTTTTATTCCTCTTTCAGTGTCTCTCATGGACAAATATAAGGCACTGCAAAGAGATCAAAAACAGATGGTGAATAGGGAACATTTCAGAATAGTGGGTTCTCTCTGGGAGTTGCCACCCTGGAGAGGCTGGCCATGAGCACAAGCTTCCCTTGGCACTTTGAGTAACCCCTGAACCTATCTCTCCACCAGACCGTAAGAGAAATATTCATATTTACATAATTCTGTGGCCTGCAGAGCATTTAGCAAGATGCACTAGAAAAATACATAATGTTTCTAAAATTCATTAAGCTCTTTTTAAATTTAATTCCTGGTGCCTGAGGTGGAAAATTGCCCTGAGTTAGGTTCCAAAGATTAAAGGTTTCGAGGGCCAATTTTTCACTCACATTGTAGATCTTTGAGATCCCTGGAATATCCCCCCAAAAGGCTCATGAGTTAAAGGCTTAGTTCGCAGCTTGGTCCTATTGAGAGGTGGAGGACACTAAGGAGGTGGGGCCTTGTGAGAGGTCTTTCAGTCTTTGGGGACATGCCCTCAAAGGGGACTGTGGTACCCCAGACTCTCTCTCTCTTTTACAACCTGTCAATGAGGTGAATGTTTTCACTATACCATGCACTCCTGCCTGATGTACCACTATCACCAAAGGCCTAAAAGCAAAATGGATCCAACTGACCATTGACTAAAACATCCAAAACTATGAGCCAAAATGAACCTTTTCTCTTTGTAAGTTGATTATCTCAGGTATATATTACAATAATGAAAAGCTGATTAACACAGTCCCCCAATTATTTAAAGATCTTCAAGAGACCATGTTGTAGACTTTTGTCTTGAAGAAACCAAACATTTCCACTAAGCTTATTTTTTATTCTAAAAATGATGAGATAAGGCAAAATAAAAGTTCTCACTTTTCTTGTCCTTGGAACAATAAGCCAAAAATAGCCTTATCAGAGAATCTAAGGCACAACACAGGCCCACTTTCTTGTATATTGTGGCTCCATGTAGTTTGAGCATCATTTCCTCCCTGACATCACTCAGGAATGTGATCACCTGATGTCCCCAACCAGCAGCTGCAGCCAAAGCCAGGAGTCTCCTCTTGGGTCTTTCAACAAAAATCTCCCATGGTGAGGGAAGCTGCTGAGTCTTACTAAGCTCAATGCCCAAACATTTTACTCCTGTGACAGGAGTCTTGTGTTAATCATGCAGCTGTGTCCTCTCTTAGATGTGTCCCATCTCTTACCCACTCCTTGTGAAGAGAATTCTTGTTGGACATTTTAAGCAGCTAACTTTATATTCCTCCCAACAGGGTTCCTGTTTCAGAGTATGCTCAATTGAAAAGCAAAACTACCAGAAAGAAAGATATTCCTGCCAGGTGAGGTGGCACATGCCTGTAATCCCAGCAGCTCAGGACACTGAGGCAGGAGAATCACAAGTTGAAAGCCAGCCTCAGGAAAAGTGAGGTACTAAGAAATTCAGTGAGACCCTGTTTCTAAACAAAATACAAAATAGGGCTGGGGATGTGGCTCTGTGGTCGAGTGCCCCTGAGTTCAATCTCTGGTACTCAAAAAAAAAAAAAAAAGAAAAGAAAAGAAGGAAATAAAGAGATTCCTGTGCTCATAGAAGATATGAAGCATGCAGGAAAGAACTCTATTCACAATCACTGCCAAGAGGCTATATTTACCTGTTGGTCTCTGACTCCCTTTAGACGGTAACTATCACTTGCAATGCCAAGCTAGCCAGTATTACAGCCCACTAAACCAGGGCAGGGAACAAATGGCTTTCATGCAGGATGGGTGTTCACCCTGGCTGGCCCTTCCTGACTATGAGAATGAAAACATGAATTCAAATTTGAAATCTCACTTGCTTGTATACTTAATTCCTGCCTCTTCGTTGCTGCCTAGAGATCCTGATGCTTTCTTTCAAGACTAATAACTTATGGCTACTTCATAAATGAAATGATGAGTCATCCATTCTCCCCACCCCACCCCCACACACATACACGACATACACAAAGCTACCCAGTGAGGGAAATTATACATTCCTATTCCATTAGCTTCTTGCCTCAGACCCAATTCAACATCTAGGTCCACCAAGTGCCAGTGCAGCTTGGCAGAGTGGATATAGACTTCAGAGATGGCCAAGCAAGCCTTGGAGCAGGATCTGTTGTGTTCTTCCCCTCAGAAAGCAGAGAGAAAGAAGGAAGGGTAGAGAGAAGCAATCACAGAAAATCACCCTAAGTCGATGGTTTCTGGCAGACGAATGGACCTCCTTGTGGATTTCCTTGCAAACTTCTGGCCTCCTTCAATGCATTTAATGGCTCTCTTGATGTCCTTAACCCAAGCATCTCTCTCCTCCAGGAAGCTGGCCTGGAAGAAGTGGTCCTGCTGTTTGGTGGTAGTAATCTTAAACACAAACTGAAAATCAAAACACATCCCATTAGAAATGACCATGTTTAAGGCACCGAAGCCCATCATAAAGAGAACAGTTGACCCAAACCTGTTCCACCCAAGAGAGACTCAAATGCCATAATGAAGTGTGGTTGAGAGTGAATGAGGCTGGTCCAGGAGGCACTGCTAATACTGCAGGCCATGCACAGACTTAAAGGTCAGTGCCTGACCCAGATTTGTAGCTCGTGATGTCAACTCACCATCCTCTTGGCAAAGTCCTGACAAGAGCTCGTCAGGGTGCTTCCTTTCAGGGGGATCATCCCTTTGGGGCTGTTGTCACTTTTCTTCTTGTAGAATTCAATTCCATCTTCTAACAATACAACCCACATGGCTTTCCAGGTGTTAAACACGCTCCCCTAGAATGACAACAGAAAGAGCTGAGATGGGCGGGGTTCCTTGAGTACAGTTTTGAGTACAGCTCATATTTCTTTGTCTTCATGCACTTTTCAGTTTTTAACTGCCTGTTTTGAGAAGAGAAAAATATAGAAAAATGACAACCACTGGTATTTTGTCAAAAGGTTTTTAATTTTTAGAAAATTTTAATTCCTGGGGGTGTTTATCAGAATTATAGAGTCAAAATATAGGAAGAAATTTTCCTAGTGCTTTTCAAAATATGATCTTCAGGGCACCTGATCTGATTCACTGAAGATGGCTGTAAATAAAATCTGGTCCCACCTCAATTCTGGCTTCACTTGTAAGGCCAGACCATGCTGCCGTGATTGCTGAATATCAAACGACCCAGTTCAAGCTCTGCTGTGTCCTTGCTACTCAAACTTGAGCAGCCTTTCTGAGCTTCAGTTCCCAAGACTAAAGTGGGGGTGACAACGATTGCCTCAGAGGATTCTAGCACATATTAATGGAAATAATGTGGACAGGACTTTTAAAGTTCAACTGTGGTTATAAACAGGAGGTTGTATTATTAAATATCTTAAAAGATTGTCATGTTTGTATGCCTGTTTGAGTTTCTAGCAAGATAAACAGCTACTCTTTCATCCTCTCTCAGTGGTAATGAACTGGTAGCACTATCATCTTGTGAATGAGGAAGACCCTGGAACATTGAGCCAGGTGCACTGTAGAATAATGAATGGGAAAGCTGAAGCCCATTTGTGGATGTATTTGTGAGCAAACAAGTCACCTCTCTTTTGGTTTCTTTTTTGGTAGATTAAGGTTTGGGGTCATCCCTGGACTTGCATGCCTCCTAGGTCATCATATGGCATGTGTGTATTTAGAGTGCTTGAAAGTACAGGATGACCTCAAACCTGCATTTGACCCTTGTGCTGTTTATTAGTTGTACATATCCTAGGGGGAACGTGTTTAATTTCTGAGCCACAGTTTTTTTAAAGAGAAGATAATAATTCTATCTTACATCATATTAGCAAGTATTAATTAGGTTTACATAATGAATAAAATATGTACGTATGCGAACAATACATATATGCTTACATATATACAGGAATTATACAATGTATATTTATGCATACATACAAAACATAAAGTATATAAAACATTGTCAGCTAAAAATTGCCAACAAACTATGTTAATTTCAGGAGGTCAAGAACCTACCACTGAATGACATTACCAGGTCTTCAGTAAATAATTTGTGGCATGAATGGTTGTAATTTAAAATCACATTATGTGATAATGAGTATTTAAGACTAAATGAGGAAGATATGAGGAAATGATTAACACTAAAGTAGAAACAAAGTATAACAATGTTTTCTGAAATTATTCTACAGACACATGCAGGACTTAATAAATAGAACAGCTTTGATCAATATAGAGGGAAGTGATCCATATTTGTATGATCAGCTTGCTCAGGAAAGCAGCCTTCATTGGAGAAGGGGACTTTCATTTTGTTAGAATTGTTTTTTTTTTAATTTTTATTTTTTAGAGGGGGGTGGGGGCTGGATACTTGGAATTGAACTCAGGGGCCACTTAACTACTGAGCCACATTCCCAGCCCTTTCTTGTATTTTTTATTTAGAGACAAAGTCTCACTGAGTCACTTGGCACCTCACTGTTTCTGAGGCTTGCTTTGAACTCAAGATCCTCCTGTCTCAGCCTCCTGAGCCGCTGGGATTACAGGCCTGCACCACCGTACCTGGATAGAATTAGTTTTTAATTAAGATATATATATATATATATACACACACACACACACACACATACACACACACATACACACACACACATCTATAATCAGCCCATAAGCTTCTAATGGGCCATGACCAAGGGAGTACAATTTGGATCTCCACTCTCCTTCATGCACATTCCAGGCTGACTTTCTGTGGTTTACTTTCTGCTCCCAAGCCTGCTGATTGTGTTTAATTCAATTCAAGGATGGTAAATAGATTCTATCTCAAGTGCCAGCTTAAACTAAATAGGAGTGTATGCCTGAATCTGGGCAAACTAGAAAAGCATCTTGATCCAACAGCTGTGTCCATGCTCACAGAGCCCCTAAAGTGCTGCAGTGCTTCCATCCCTTGGTTCAATCAGATTTTATCTGAATATGGATGTCAAGAAGAAACTCAGACAAGAGCCTGTGTGCAGGCATGGCTAGGTTCTATGAAAATCACTTGTGAATTGGTCTACAATATGAGTGATGCTATTGGAGTTAATGTGGCTCACAGGAAAATTAATACTTACAAAGATTCAGTTTGGAGTAATGCCAACTGCTCCTTTAGCAACAAATTAACCATTCTGACTAGACTGAGAAAATTCATTTTTTCTGGTTTAATTTGGGAGAGGGCTTTGGAAAAGGAATAAAGTAAATTCCTTTGCCTCTATTCCTTGACCCACAATACCACCCTGTCATGACCACCACAAATTAAAATTATCATCCAGCTCCCAGCAGATCCTGCTGCTTATCTCAAATACAAAGAGCTTCTATATAAAGGTCTAGTTGCCCAAAAGGAAGACTATACAAAGAAGATAACTACTTTTTCTTGTCCAAACATTTCCTTTGTTTGGGCTCCTAAAAGAGTTGTCCCCCACCCCCAACTAAAATACACTATCACTTTTTTGCCCAGGCAGAATAATTAATCCAGAGTAACACTACACTATTTCCCTTTTCAAAAAATGGACAAGGTCAGACACTATGCCAACACATTAAATAATTTTAATCAAATTCCTTCCTGTTTTACATCTTAGATTCATATTCAAAACATAAAGAACTCCTTAAAATCAATAAGAAAAGTAGAAACAATATGATTTTTATATGGGCCAAAAAATGATAAACAGGCATGAAATCAAAGAAGATATATGAAAAAGTGTTCATCATCATTATTTATCAGGGAAACATGGATTCAAACCACGATGAGATACCTCGACACATCCACAAGAGTACCCAACATTTATAAAGATAGAGAAGAGCAAGATTTGTCAAGAAAGAAGAATAACTGAAATACAAAATGTTATATCCTATTTGGAAATTTCACCCTAAAGCTAAACACAGACATGTGCCCTTTGCACCTGGTCACAGATCTGAGAGAAATGAGTGTATACTGCCAAAAAGGTTAGATACTAGAATATTCATAGCATCCATAGCAACGTCATTCATAATAGCCAAAAATGGAGAATAACTCAAATACCCATCAACAGGAGAATGGATAAGTAAACTGTACAGTGAAAACATATAAATGTATTATTAATACAGTGAATTCACAAAACAGAATACAACTTAATGATTTAAAAAAGTGAACTACTGGTACTTACAACACCACAGATCAATTTTATAGACGTTATATCAAGTGAAAAAAGAACAGGCAAAAAATGTACTTAGAGTATGAATCCATTTATGTGAAGTTCAAGAACAGGCATAACTGGTGAGAGGTTACACTAATGGTAATCTATGATGGGAGTATAGAGTTGGAAGGAGAGCAATGATTTTTATGGGATACTGTCAATGTCTCATCTTGTTCTGTGTATGATGTACATTATATATGTGTGTGTGTGTGTGTGTGTAAAAATTATGGCATAGCTTACATGCTTTTTTGTATATATGTTTTCCTTCAAGTTAAAAAGCAATGTTCTGTTTAGCTGTATACAGGTCCTGAGAATTAATTCCATTAAGGGCATACACAATGATTATAGTAATATGGCTCTGTTCAGGTTGCTTTTTATGTGGTGCTGGGGATTGAACCCAGGAGCTATAACACTGAGCTTCATACCCAGCACTTTCAATTTTTTAAATTTTGATTTATCATCCAACTAATGATAAAAGAGTCTGCTTCAGACACAACCTGGTATTGAGTGTAACAAATGAACATGAAGTTGCCCAGGCTGGCTTTTAACTTGTGATCTTCCTGCCTCAGCCTCCTGAGTCACTGGGGTTATAGACAAGCACCTCCATACCTGACCAGGTTGATCCTATGAAAGAGAACTATTCTAGTTTAGTTACCTTTCTCATTTGATCACTGGAAAAACAACATATTCATGCAACATAGGGCCCTTGACCGAATAATGAAGTTTTTAAAAGCAGTTGTGCATATTATTGAGTCATTTGGAATTGGTTGAATATAAAAAGTTATGTTAGTTACAATGGCATTGTATCAGGGTTAAATTTCTTGGATGCAATAATGGCATTCAAGATTACATAGGAGATTATATAGGAGAATATCCTTGTTCTTATTAGATATGTGTTGAAGTAGTGGAGTGAGTTAGCATGATGTTTGCAAATTACTCTCAAATTTCTTGACATAAAATTATACGTGGGCATATTTGTAGAGAAATATCGAGAAGGAAAAAAGAAAAAGCAAATGCATCCTTTCCTTACCAATGGATGAATCTGGTTAAAAAGTATATGGTTAGTGGTAGTAGTTTTCCCAATTTCTATAGTTTGAATATTTTTAAACAATTAGGAAAAGTTAGTAAATAAATTTACAACATTTGACATTACTATGTATTAAAATTTGGAATATAATTTTACTGAAATATATAGACAAATCTGATCAATAAAAATTGAAATAACTAGAAATAAGAAAGATGTATCCACAGACTTTCAGAGTAGAGTTTCAACTAGATGACTACTAAAATTCTTTTCAAACCTAAAGTTTAATATTCAACTATAGGCCTATCTAGGATAATACTTTCCATAATCACTCAGGGCTTTTGACCTTAGAATTAGAATAAATTGGTAGAAATCTGTCAGAACTGCATTCCCTTTGCAGACAATTAAAGCATCCAGAGATAACTGTCCAAAGTGAATGTGTGCTTTCCTTATTCAAATATAGCTTTAGGGGCTGTCAGCAAACTCCTAGGGGAATGTGTCATTTGGGATTTGGGGTCATTATGCAAATTGAGGAACCTAATACTTGGAAAATGAAGAGATATCTGGCCACTTATAAAGCTTGCACTCT